AGAAAAATTAAATCAGTCTACAAATGCAGAAGGTAGGCAAAGCAGTCACTAAGTGACAGACTAACTGCCTAGGGGAGCTGGGGACTAATTACTCACCATGGTGCAAGGAAACAGAGCTAGAAACGCTGGGATGAGATGAGGGAAACTACTGCAGACAAAAATCTCAAGTATGTTTTAATGGAGCTGATAGACTATGAATTTATCTTCATGAAAAACAGATAATGCCTTTGCCTCAAACTGTTGAATCTAGAACAGAAATGTTAAATATACCACTGGGAATAATTCCTGTCCTTGTCTGGAATATTTCTCTGAATTTTGGTCTTCTGTAGTCACTGGAGAATTCTGACAGAAAGAATAAATTCAGAGGCATTGCCCAAAATATGTAAAATAGCTTGGATACCCTTTTCTTAAAGATAGTAAATTCCCTCCAAAGGGTCTGTGGGACATGGTAAGAGTTAAATTGAGCTTCATTTCAAGGAAAACTGATTCTAAAGCAGGCCAGTAATTGGATAAATAAAGCATAATCTTATCGAGTCAAGTACCTACTGCTGTGTGGTGTGTTCACACCTTATTAACCTTGTGAGTTCCACTCTCAGTAGAGAGAAGGACCTTAAAGGCTCAGCAGAGCTATTTCAGTGTGTGTTAGTGGTGGGGAAGAGGATGTGAACAGCAAACTGAATCTTGCTGATAGTCTGAAAGTTTTTCAGTTGTCAAACACGAAGGCTGTTGAGAAATTGCAGTCAAGCCCATACATCAGCACTCAGAGATGCAACATGGAATCACTTCATCAATCTGGTTCTCCTGTGAAATGTTGTGGAATTCATGGATATGATCTTCTTAAGGACCTGAAATTAGGGCACCTGACTAAAAATGGTCATCAGGCATTGACAAGAATTTCCAGTATATTGTTCTCTGCAACAGTTGTATAAGAAGCCAAGAGTGATTGGGTGCATGAAAACAGGGATGGAAATGGTGTTAGTCCTGTATAATCTGGGTCCAGTTGACATCTGCTTTAAGGAATGATGTTTTTTACACAGCAAAGCCCTAAATCTGACAGCCAACAGCAGGTCTGCCACCAAGTATTGACAACCTTATTCATAGCATGTAAAGCAAATGCCACAGTTGAGATAATGAGCTTAGCAGAACTATTGCACAAGTGATGCTTTTGTGGTGTGAGATATGTGAAGTGATGCAATGTCAGAGGACCATTTGCAACTGTTCCTCGGCAAAGCTGCAGCACAAAAGACTTCCTAGCAGGAAGATGACACACGAGTACTGTCCCAAGAAGTGCTGTATCAGAGCTGCAGCTAATCCTTGAAAGCTTCCTGCTGCCACTGAGAGGGAGGAGGAAGTCAAAAAATACTTTGGGAGCTGAAGCCAAAGGAAGTCATCCAGCTCTGGGGGCACTGTCTAGGGAAGAAGATATTCCTGTATTTAGTTCAGGGCTGTGTGTGAGGAAGTCTCAAGTTAAACAGGGCCTGCTTTGGGTCTGACCTTGTTGGTAGAAACCTGGCAAGATACCTTGTTTAAAATACATGTTTAATTTTTTATCTATAAGGTCATTTAATATGGTGATTAGGTTGATGTGAAGATGATAAATTTGGGATACTTTAGGGTACAGCAGAGGGGGAGCTCCGAGAAATAACTGCAACAAATTCCACTCCATGAGGACTTGGGTACCAGCAAGTGCCTCCTGCCCAGCTACACCTGCTCCCAGGGAATGGGTGTCACTGGCTTTGGGAAGAATTCCTTTGCTAGGCATGGGCTGGGGCCTTTTTTGCTCAGAGGATGGAAGAAACATGCCCTGCACAGCCACTGGAGTTCCAGCTTATCACAGCCTTTGCAAATATGTGTCTTTAGTGAAAAACATTTCTGCTATTCATAGTGGACCAGAAGGAGTGAACTTTCAGGAGGCTTTGTTCTTTTTCTGAGTTGTCCAGCTAGATGAGAAATAATTAACTAGAAAGCAAACCTGTCTCCATTGCAAACAAAACAGAAAAGAATTGCATAGAAGTGTTTCTTTACCTGCACTGGGATATTGTTAGACAATAAACAGCACAGAGCAAATATCCATTTGACCTGCTGGAGTGACAGTAGAGATTCTGGACAAAAAAAGAAAGGAGCCTTGAGCAAGCAAATAATCTGATCACGAATGTTTGGTGACTAAACCATGGTACAAAACTTCATAGGATTGAAGTACACTGAAAAGGAGCCCAACGAAGTTTATCATTGAGTTGGAGAGCAAAGTGGTTAGGAAAAATAAAAATAGAATTTAAGCAAACTCCTCTGAGTTTTAAAGTGCAGCTCAAGTGTTTACCAGGGATCATTTCAGATGGTTTTGTCACCTGACCTGAACAGCTTCAGTGTTGTTAGCAATATTCCAGTTCTGGGGCTGAAATTTAAAAACAGCTGGATAGATTATTTTTTTAATGTGCATAATTTATGGCCAGTTGTTAGTTTCACAGTTCCATACAGCAAAATAAACTGTGAAATGGCATGGTTTGCCCTCTGCTAGGAGCAGGAGCATTCCTTCAGCATGGCTCAAATGAACTGTGGGGGAGGGTATAAATTCAGAATATTTATGAAAAACGGTTCTGGAACAGAAAGCAGGAGACAACAATCCCTTTGATGATTTATCACAATGACATTAATGCTTCTACAGCAAATGGCTGAGGAAAATGAAATTATGTCATCTGGTATGTGTCAAAGCCCCAGAGTGAGTTGCTAACTGTTCCATTCCTGACCTGCTGGTTTCTGATTACTTTTGAGAAGAGACATGTTTTGTGCCTCACCTAGTCAGTTGCCAGTTTATCCATGAAGGAAATTATCTGGAAGGAATGTTTCTGTAATTGTTATTTTTATAATGAGATGATTTGAGAAGGAAAATAGTTGTCTCAGATAAACATTGCTGTAGAGTTTTTTCCTGTGTTCTCTCTTTCTGACCAGGATTAGAGTCTAATGCAAAGGTACTACCAGAATTCCTCCCCATGACTAACTGGTGCCATTGCTCTGGCAAAACACACACTTGTTTCCCTCAGAGGGTCTAGCAGAAGGAAGGACCTCTTTGGTATTTATAGAAACCAAATACTACATTTTTTCAAAGCTGCTAACCTGTGTTCTTGTTTAGTAGCTTAATCCCATTGCAACAAGTAAATCACACTGCTTGGGAGAATTCCCCTTTTCCACCACTATTTATTCTAAGGCAATCTAAAGCCTCTCTGATTGATGGGACTGTCACTTCCACTTGTGCATGCTGCTTCTCACTTCTGCTCCCCATCCATAACCAGGTTACTGTTCCCATGGATCAAACAGAAAGGTCCTAAGGGAAGGCAAAGCCAGAGAGAAGAGTTTCATAGTGGTTGGAGGCAACTTGTTAGTCAGTGCTTCATCTTCGAGTTATTGTATGTAATACAAACAGTGATTTTCTTTCTCAGCTGGTTTATGAGTTCCTCTCCCTCGTTTGTTTTCAAGCCCTGTTTTTTTATTGTTCTTCCTCTTTCCGCTCAACAGCTCTTCTCTTTTGCTCTTTGCCTCCTTCCTGTGCTTATCTTGCTTTCCAAATTCTCCTCCCTCACTGAGTCACATCTTCCAAACCCTGTCATCACCCTGCCCTGCCCTTTCCGTTGATTCTCTACGACCTTGTCATCCTGATTGATGCCACTTGGTGTTGTGAGTGACCCGTGTCACACAGAGCTCTGAGTGCTCCGCAGCATTCGGAATGGAGTCAGTAACATGGTGCCCATTTCCCAAAATCCTTTGAATATTCCACTTCCCATGTCCCCTTTGTCTGTTATGGAGAACTAGGAACTCCATTTGTCTTTTCCAGGTTGTTGATCTTCAATACAGAAGTGATGTTGTTACCCACTGTGCCAAAACAGTGCCCCAAAACTTGGAATTCAAGGGATGTCTGGAAGTGACTCTATGAACAAAGACTTGACTTGGCTTGGCCAGTCTCACTCACTGCAGCAATCACTGTTCTTTACCTCTAGGCTCCATGGACATTGCTCTGTAAAGGATCCAGTTCCACCTGTGTTGCCAAAATAGTGTAAATGTGACCAGATTAAAAAAAAACATCAGACTGAGAAGTGGTGGGAGATGAGAAAGAACATATACATGAAGTGTTTGCCTCCTTGGGCTTTTTTGTGAAGATCAAGGGGGATGTGCTGGTGGTGCTTAAAAACAAGCTGGGATTCATTTTTACTGTACAAAAATATCTGCCAAGGCTTGTGGATTAATATTCACCAGGAGCAGGAGAAGTGAGGCACAAGGCTGAGGTCTCTAGCAGATTTTAGAACATTCTGCAGGCAGAAGGCACATGGGAAATGAAAGCAGCTGCAATGGTGTTGGTGAAGTGGCATCACTCACACAAAGCAGGTTCCAGAGGGTAGAGGAAATTCTCTCAGACCATGTTTATTGGCAACTCCAATAACTCCTGCAGCCACCCTGGGTGTAATTGCTAGGCAAGGTTAGTTTGACAGCCCTCCCCATGAAACCACTCACACACTGCATGTGTTTGCCTGTCTCTTTAAGACTTTGGCAAGTGTTTGGCACACTTGGGTTCTACCCTGTTCTTCTAAGTGTTGCTTATTGCTATGGCAACACTAATCAATCATCATGCTAAAAATAGGCCTTTCGTTTTTCAAGAGGTTATATGTGGGGAATTGCAAATGCAACTGCAGGCTGTGCTGTCTGTGTGCTGCTTTCCTTCCCTTGTTTCGTGGGGAAATGTTCCTGCTCACCTGTGGGAATTGGTCAGTTATTGCACTGGGTGAGCCTTAAACCTCTCCTGGTCCTTCCAAAATTGAGCTGCCAAATATAGAAAGTGTAAGAAAACAAACAGCAAACCCCCCTGAATATTCCCCTTTCTTGGTGTTGAGTGTCACAGGTGTATACTTGAATAGAACAAATTTTAAAGCAGTTGGTAAGACATCTAAAAATCTGGAGGTGACAATTTAGAAGACACTTCCTTTGAGAGCTTTGCACAAAGGAACCTTTACCATTGAACACCCTGGGACTCTGAAGGTTTTGTACTATTGTGTACAACTTAAGTTCAATTTCAAGCTAAAGATTGAATTTGGCACTGTTTTTATTCCAAAGAGGAACCTTGCAAGCTGCAGAGGTGGTGAAATGGAGAGTGGAGACAGTGCCCTGTGCACTGTGTGTGCTCGGATCGATCGCAGCCAGGTCTGTGCTGGAAGAACACAGGCCCTGGGGGAGGCAGAGCAGACTGGGAGTGGTGCTCAGCTGAAAAAAAAAATCTGCTAAAAGGTTTATTACCTCCTATTCCCTCCCCAGTTTGATTCTGACTGTTGCATAACAATTTTAATCCCCAGCTAAGTAAATACGAGGCCACTAAAGGAGGGGAAAAACCAACAACTTTTTGCATGATGAATAATGGTCTTTTCAATGATGCATCAACAGTTTTCTGGTTCTGCCAGAGCTCCCTGCCAATTACTCAGAGTGCAGCTGATGAATCATGAGACACATTCTGTGAAATGTTCAGAATCCTGGACCCTGCTAAGTGTTCCTGAAAGCCAGTGAGACCCCCCAGAGCTGTGGGAGCTGTGGCTGCCAGGCAGTTGGCTTTCTGGGAGATGGATTTGCAGAGGAGGACTTTTTGGTGAATTTGAGTTTTCACTTGGGGTAAATCCATGTTGCCATTTATAATCTCAAATTAGGTTGCTGCAGTTCTCACACCCAGAGAGGCTCCCTGTGGGTGGCTTTGCAGAAAGTGGCTGCTCTCTAAGGAGGTGTCTTGAGGTAAACTGTACTTCCCATTCCTCTGTACTACTCTGAAGAGTCTTAGTCATTTCTTAGTGTCTCTTTTTTGAAATAGAGAGTTAGAAGATCTCTTGCTTTAATTGGAGTTTAGATTCTGGGTCACAGGAATCAACACCTAGGCTCAAGCTGTGGTTTACTGAGCTGCTCCAGCTCAGCCCAGTGCAGCCTCAGTTTGGTGCATGAGATGGTGACACCTCAGTGTGTGACCTGACTCGTTGCTGGTAACCTGCAGACAGTGCTTGGAAGGAGCAGATATTTTTAATAGCAAGGTAAAAGGGAAATCTGGCATTTGGCTTTATTCAGGGTTTCCTCTGAAACTGCAGCCATGCTTTAGATCAGCAGCACAAAGAGGGTTTTACCTTTCATGGCACCAGAACCTTATTTAGGGAAAACTCTCATTATTTTTTTTTTCACCAAAGGTTGATTCTAGGTGTGTTTATTGAGCACTGGCTATCCTGTGATCAGGAGATCGACTGATGACCTGTTGGGTGGTATCTATGGAAGGAGAGATGTATTTTCTGCAGCCTCCAAGGATCTGGCTTCACACTGCTGTTGTGCTGCACTACACCTGGTCTCCCAAATCCTCCTCCTTAGGCATCAGTCCCTCCCTTGAAGAACTCTCCCAAAGTTATCAAGCCCAAACTTGGGCCAAGAGCAGTGTGAGCACTGAGGCATCACAACCTCCTCGTTGTGTAACCTGCATGTACAGCACATTCAAGAGCCTTTAGCCACGGGGATTAGTGATGCCTCTTACAAGGAACTGGCAGTTAATTCAAGAAAAGACTTGGTGACTAACAGTAAAGGTGGTGAACTCCTTCAGGGTTGGTTAGACAGCTGCTCTGTCGCCTACCTGAGAAGTTGCTTTGAAAGAAGAACTGTGAAATGCTAAATAAGATATTTGAAGTCTTTTTTTCCACTGGAATGGTGTTGTCTAGTGTTAAAAATTCTAGTCTCCATAAACCAACAAAGCTAAGCAATCCACAGAAAAATAAATGTATTCCCAGGAAATACAGAAATATTATATTTAAAAGAAAAACATTTGAGCATTCTGAATTTGTTTGTATTTTTATTACCTAAAGATTAATTTGGACTTAATATAACGGAGTTTCCACAGCAGTTCATAATCCATGGTAATTTCATTAATATGCAATTACACTGGCATTAATTTCTCCCTGAAAATTGCCCAAAGCCCTCACACATGGAAGCATTGCTGTCTGTTTGGTCAGCACCTGCAGCTGGTGGAGTGTCCTTGGGTTGTTTTCCATGGGGGATGGACTGATGTGTGATGGGGAATATGGAGCTGCTCTTGAGATCTGAGTGAATGGCATTAATAACAAGGCATTCAGGACATTCACACTCTTGGGCACAGGGAGACAATTGTATCTAGTTATTCCAGAGTGTCTGTGCTGATTTACTTACACCTTCATTAGAGTATTCAGTTTTTAGATCAAATCTCTAAACCCTCCAGGATCATAAAAGCCTCTGCACTTCTGTGAATATTTACTCTTTTTCTTGAAGTTATCTGAAAAAAATAAGCAAGCTGATACCAGGCAGTGTGTACTGAATGTGTCAGCAGATGAAACGAGGTGTATTTTTTATGTCAAACATATTTTTCTTTTGTTGCAGTGTTCCTTTTTGCCCAAATTCTCCATTCATATAGAGACAAAGTATGAGGACAACAAAGGAAGCAACGACAGTGTGAGTATGACTCCTTGATTTCATCCTTTCAGTGGTCACAGTCTGTGTCTGGGGTTTGTAGGTCTCAGTCTTGGAAAAAGGTCCTGTCAGGTTTGTGCCTTTGCTCATCCCTGGGGGATGAGCAGCTTGCAGAGGAGTTACCCCTGAAGCACCAGGAGATAAAAGATCCATCTACACACCTTCTCCTCTGCCTCTTGCAGTCTACTTGTGGCTTCTCTAAACACAACATAATTTACATATCTGAATTTAGAGGAGCATTTATGGAGAGTAGATTGTTGCTTTTTTTTTTTTCCTTTGGTGTAATTGTATTCCACTTTATCCGTTTCACATTCTAAGCAAAGGGGATTGAATTCCAAAAAACTGTCAGGAAGAGCAAACAGGAAACTCAACAGTGGTCAGAGATGAGAGATCTCAGTAAACAGCTCAGGGGAACAATGGCTGAGCCCCTGAGGAGATGTGTTTGGCAGTCACTTACCCAAAGTTAAAACGTTTTAAGGGTTAGAGAGGGGAAGGACAATTAACTATGTGAAACCTTGTCTAGAGGAAGGGCAGGAGTGAGTATCCATCGCTGCTGGTCAGAGAGGCTCAGGAGCAGGAGGTCAGTCAGACTTTGTGGCCCTGACAGGGAGCAGAGCAGATCACACAGCCTGCAAGGAGACAATAACTTTTGGTAAAGCCTGGCATGTGAAGGTTGAACCCTTGGATTCATACAGAGATGTGTTTCTCTGTGTTTCTGTTTGGTATGCTTTGAATAGTCCTTGGCTGCAGACTTAGGGGAAGAAGTTTCCTGTAGGCATGAAATGTGAATTAAAACGTCTGGAAAAGTGATCTGTAATAGAGAGACCCAGTGAAGGAGTGTTTGAACTCGTTCTGGAGAAGGAAGAAGGCAGTAAAGCAGATTTTAAGGGGCTGAGGCACAGCAGCCGTGGGGAGGTTAAGGTGTCCTGTTCTCCAGGTGGGAGGAACATCTCCCCAGAGCCTGGGCCTGCTGGTTCAGAGGGCTGACAGCTGTTGCACTGCTTGTGGCAGGATAATCACATGTACAAGAACAAGGTATAATTTTGAATAATGCTTTTGGCATCCAGACACTTTCCCCCTGGGAACATGACAGAGCTCATCTATTAGCCACCAGATCCCAACAACTCTCCCTCACTGCCACTCGAAGCCAGATCAGAAAGGCAGTTAAAAAGAAGTGTATGACATTAGCAGCTATATGAGCATTATGTAATTTATGCACTTTTTAATGTTCATTTCTGCTCTTTGGCAGCGCTTTGATTCAGAGCAAGCCCACACCTTTGGTTTTAGGAGGGTGCAGAGCAGTTTGCTGGTACATTGGAATGCCAGCAGTGAGCAGACACGTTCTGTGCTGCTGCCTGGCAGAGGAAGAACTGAAGCTGTTTAATCAGTGGATTTTCAGCCAATCTCTGTGTGTCAGCTTGTGGCTAAAATGCTGTGAATCAAGCCCTGAACAGTCTCCAGCCAGGGAACTTCAGATGAGAGTAGCACAGAGATGGGATACCCAGGTGATGTAAGTAAAAAGGTCTCTACTCTGCTTGAACACAACTCTTCCAGTGCCATTTTTAGCAGAGTGCCAATGGGGTAATATCACATTACCTTTGTATTGCAGTGCCTGAGTCACAGACTAGGCAAGTGTTTACCAAGATGAAGAGGTTTCATTGACCCTTCCTTGAACTGAGGAGGAGAAAGAGGAGCTGAATTAGAGTTGCTCTGAAGAGAGACAATTTCCCTGGTTTTGTAGTGCTGGGAGCTGTGCTGTTCATGGGTATCAACACAATAAACCCATGGAAGATCTACATCTTGTGCTGTTGATCCAGGGACCTTGCTCAGGTGATGCAGACGTGGCTGGTGCAGCCCTGAAATGCTGCAAGGTTAGTACATATGGAGAGATTTGTGTTAATCCAACCCCCTTGGAACTGGGGCTAAGAGCTGGTCTTGTTTCCCTTCATGAGCAGGATTAAACCTCACTTCAGAAAACACAAAGTGTATTTCTCCTCTGTGTCAGACAAGTTGAGGTTCAGTCTCACTGTCAGAAGATGACAGAAAACACAGCATCCATTCCTGTAGATTGCCATAGATACACTATTTTTTCCTTCATTGCAACTATCTACCTTGGCTGATGAAAAAATAATTAAGGCAAAAATACTTCTGTAAATTTTGCAGTTGTAATGCAAAACCTGCTGAATGAATATTAATGTTTCAGTAATGAGGGTAAGAATAGATGTCTGATTTAAACTCACCTATTTATCAATGTCTTGTGAGATCAGACAGGGTTTTTGAAATCTCTGAACTCTGATCTACTCTTCATTTCTATGCTGTCTAAGAAAGGAGATATTGATTGTGAAAAGCAGTAATTAGATACAGGGATGCTAAAACTAATTCCACTGATGAATGGAAGAGAGCAGGACGAGTGCTCTGGGGTTCCTGTTGCCATTTAGCAGACTGGTGTGTCAGTAGAACTGTTCTGTTTAACATGCTGCATTGTCTGGTATAAATCTACCCAATTACTGCAATATATCTCACTGCAAAATTCCTCCTGATTTTTCTTCCCAATTGGCATGATAGAAAATACGAGTGAAAGGTGATGATAATCTGCTTGGAACCTGATTCTTTGTGTCTTAGATTTTGTTATCATTTTAAACATGCTGAAGCTCTGTTGTTCTGATCCATTAAAGTTTGCACTTGATTTGCACAAATACAAACACTGGCAGAAAGATCAGTGGGCAATAAATGCCTTTATTTAGGTAAACCCTTGTGTGGGTGAGGGTAGTGCAGACCCATAAATCCATCCTGCCAGGATTTCAGTGCTCAGCACAGCTGACTTTGCTGGATCCCATCAAGATGCTCCATGGCAACTCTCTCCTTAGAAAAACAGAGCCAGTGTTGGATGAACATGTTAGTACATCAAATATTGTCCCTGCTACCTCTCAGCTTCACAGCTTCATTAACAGTGTTAGAGACTGGCCCAGTGAGGCCAGTCAGTGTTTCCTCTTACAGGGCATTTAAACTAACAATTTGACTTTTTAAAGAGAAATTTTATTTGGATTTTACTTTTGTTTGCAGTGACAGAATTTATTTTCTTCTCACAGCCCGTGGATTGGTCAGGATTTGTGCCACATACAGCTAATTTTAGCCTAACTGGTGTCTTGCTCTCACTTTCATCCCATCTCTTGTTCTTACTCTTTCCATCTACACTTACAGAGACACATTTTGGTGGTTTTTTTTTTAATTTCAGTGGGGAATGCACCAACTGTGCATCACAATCAACTGTGTTGATTGCAGAGGACCCAACATATGGCTCCAGTGGCTGCTGTAATCAATGCTCAGTGATCTCACTCCTCTCTGGCCTTGCATTGCCACTCTGGCACTGGGGAAATGGTTCAAAAACAGTTTGGAGCTGAAGGTAGAGAAAAGGCAGAGTGAGGACAGACACTGCTGAGGCAAATCACTGAATCACAGAGACATTCAATTTTCCTGTTTGTGGCAGAAGGATCGTTATGTTTGACTGATTTCTGTTGGTTTGTTTTGTTTTGTTGTTTTTTAGTCACAGAATTAATTGCTGCTGCTATTTGGGCAGTGAATTTTTTGCCATCTGATAGTGTCTGGGGAAAGCAAAAAAGTGCAGCTGGTAAAATAACCCAAAGGTTGTCAATAATGGAAATTTACTGTATGTAAAGCTTCCAGTGCCTTGCTCTTGGTAGCATAACATTCTCCTCTGGAAAACTCCATGCCTGGATCGTGATTATTATACTAAGGTAAAATAAATTTGAGGTATGGCAGCTAACAAAAAAATCTATTTCTAGTTTAGCTGGGTTCAGTGTGGGGTTTATCCCTATTTTTGTCTCCGATCTTAGCAACACAGAACTAGGTTGTAACAAACTTCAGTATAGCACATGGAAATTAAATGTAAATTCACTGTTTGAGGCAACTGAAGCAGTGATTTCAGCTGTGCCCTGGCTTAGCCTCACTGCACTGCAGGATCTCATTCTGGAACCTGTCAAAAGGGTTGCTGGGCATCACTCAGGACATGGCAAATCAAAGTGAGGAGCACCTCTAGGGGAGATTTTATTTGCACCTGGACTTCTCCTGTGTGATGCTTTGAGTATCTCTAAGCCTCCTGTGTAATTTGCCATGAAAAATCATGGTTTGGTGAAGCTTTTCCCCCTCTACTAATCCTCCAAAGAGAGAGGGAAACCAGTGGAAAGGTTAGCCTGAAATTCCTG